ACAGAGACTGATTGATTTTCTGATGTTGGGACACAGATTAGTGTTACAGTGAATCATTAATATTTAGTATTTGCATTGTATTTCTCATCTTAGTCTGACAGTAAAATCTATATGGTAAGACACAATGGTCCAACCTACACAGACATTTTCTTTTCTTTTTAATGCTGTCATTGGGACATGTTTATAGCATGAATCAATGATTAATCAATCAATACTGGATAGGCCTTTAAAATACCCATACACAACCAGTGAATACGCACAAAGCAGCACAAAACAAAAACAATGATACAACAAACATTTCCATCAAACTCAATGAAAAGCACCGTTTATGACAATAAGACTGATTGAACTGCATCAACTTGACTTTAAAATGATACAGGTTAAGGTCTGCAGGGAAGGAGCTCCACATATTGATCCACCAGACAGAAAAAACAGTTTTCTCACAGACATCTGCTCTACATTCAGCCTCTCTATTCAAGCAAAACCCACTTTTTATTACATGCTATCTTGCATGTATATACATGCACTGTCTGTGAACACAAATACACTGCAGCTGGGGCTCACCACACCCTAACAAACAGTTATTGAATTGGTATTGAAAAAAAAAGTGGCAGAGAGTAGCATGCCAGGAACATAGAATTATCGTAAGACTTAATGCGTCAATGAGTTTGCTGCAAGCTAATACCTGTCGTTCTTGTGAACTACTTAGTGTTTATGTGCTGAAGGCTGATAAAACATAATGAAGGCTCATTGTGTAATATTAAGCTGTTATAACTGACATTCAGGGAGTGATACTCACATAATGAAGAGTTTAGTGAGAATACATACTGAAGGTTAAAAACGCTGACATTAACTGCTTCAGTGTCCAAGTACTGTATATACTATGATAGACCATATAAATGCTTCATATAAGAAGTTAGAATAGTCTTCTCCCCTATAATCACATCTGTCAAATACCTCGAATATCTTGCAGCTTCTTATAGAACAGCTTTTTAACTGCCTGTCATGCTATTTCTGTTTCCTCGCTAATTTCCCTCACAGCTCTAAGTTGCTGTTGATGTTTCATTTTCTACTTCCTTCTTATTTCGTGAAGTACTTTTCTGTCACAGTTGCAGTGTATTTCAAAGCAATTGAAGTCAAGTTGACTTGACCACAGATTAACCTGTTTTTATGGTGGCTCGGTGGTTAGCTTTAGCTGCACAGGTTGTAACAGTGTCTTTCTGTGCATGTGATTTTTTTTATTTTCGTGTTTACCTGGTGGTGAAGCAGCAACATGTTCCAGCCTTCAACCTGAAATACACTGCAATAGATTGCTGACCAATATTTGATGAATCCTTGATAATAATTTCATCTTATTCTTCTTTTCATTATTATAGTAAACATAACATAAAGCATGCTTTCCATTGCCTTTAATTGCTCCCTCTTTCTACATTGTGAGGTCTCAGTTACAATTATCATCTATTGCAACATGTTTGCATCCCAGAACATCTGCGTGATGAAAGGTGTGCTTCGAAGAGATAACACCTTGATAGCTGATATGAAAGCACCATCCTCTCAACACCTTACTGTTTAAATATAATCCATTAGGTGTCCTGTTAAAGTGCTAAAGCCACCGTCAGAAAGTGGTTTCATGTTTTATTGTAATTTCTTGTTTGTTTATTCCTGGATTTTGAGTTTCCAACACACTGTCACTGTTGAGCACTCAGCTCGTGTCTCTAAACTCCACGCCTACTCACCAGCAGATGTGCATTTAGTGTCTGAAAGGTGTTTGTGATAACCATCATTTTGTGTCATTTGATGCATGTTAAAACAGCCCCCGTAGTTTTAGGCCTGTAATATCTTTCCCCCTCAGATGTCACAGCGTTTTCATTAGGCCCAGCGCTAGGCCTGCTGGGGCTCATTATGACCCTGGATAACCCTTTAAAGATGCAACACAAAGCCTATCTTCAGCACTCAGGTTTACCTGAAAGGCTGATGTTAATGCCTATGGTGAGTTTTGACTCTCCACACCCACTCTTCAAGAGGCAAGAAACAAAGGTATACCTTTTTGCCTTTTGTACATTGTTTGACTCAAATCCTAATATCAGTGATCAATAGGATCATGATTTTACTGGATGTGGAATTAGCAAGTGAGTAAGTTTCTCTGAATTAAAAGGGATGCTGGTGTTGGAATCACAGTGCTTACCTGTTGCCTTGCACACACCTCCCTGATGAACATGTCACACTTTTCTTTAATGACAGACCAAAGGCTTGTAGCAACCCACCCCTCACACCCAGACTGATTGATCAGGGTAACACGATGCTATGTGTCTGAAGATAAAACACAAGCATGATGTACGTGGCGACCACACCAATCTTCCCTGACTTGTGGACTGGGCAGCTTTTAACCTGAGCTCATAACATGCCATTAGACCTTACCCTTGTTTGTTTTGAGCCAAGCCAACACCAATGTTTTGTTTCCTGCAGGACCTAACCCATCTAATAACTGCATGCACAGGACTTGTAATTGTTGCTCCACAGGAGTGACTGCAATACCATGCCTCAGTGAAGGAACCACAGGGTATATGTCTGACCAGGTCACTGTCAAAGTGCAGCCCACATATCAGTAGCAGCAGTGGGTCATCAGGTGGAGAGGTTATGACCCGAGGGAAGGCTTCATTAGGCGAACTGGGAGCCAATTAGTCCCCAGCTGCCCTGCAGAGGAGCATTAGAGGGAGAGGAAGAACACTCAGTCATTCCATGCACCGACAGCAACAGCAGGAAACCAGATGAAGTATTGTCATTCAGATTTTTTTCTTGTTGTGCTCTCATGAGATGTGCTGTAAACAGATTATAAACCTGAGGGTTCTTTAATGATATTTGAGGGGCTGAGAGTCACCACACAATTCCCTTGTAGTGACGTTTATATTCACCCCTTCCTGTTTCTCTACACAAGGCCATACCTTTCATAGTGCAGAGGTTAGTGGTGAGAGTTTCTGAAACAGGCTATGAGGATGTGAAGAATCATCCATGCTGATTTAGAAGCGCCCAGAGACACACTAGAGCAGTAATATTTGGGGGTTGGGTCTAGAGTGGAGAGAACCCCTGGAGATTCTTTCAGAAATGCTCCCTGCTTTAAGGGGGCAGGACGAGTGTCTCGACTGGGACTGGCCAGTTCGTCTGAGTGGGGACTAATGAAAACAAATGATCTGACAAGGTCAGAAGGTCGAGATCAAGGCTGAAGGATCCCCCGCCCCTCTCAGTTTCCAACTTGGGAGATTGATGAGGGCAGAGAACAGCCATTTCTCTGTATCATTTACTCCCTGAGGCCTCTGAACCCTACGGCAGTGGTGTGCAGCCCACCTGTTGGCCTGTTAAGGCCTTATGACAGCGGGACAGAGGGCATCACTCCTGTCTGAGGCTCTGTCCTGTTCACAGTGCAGACAGGAACATATTGGTTCTACCCAAGGCCTCCAATAGCTGCCTAAATCTTGTGATTTTCAAATGGATATTTAATGTGTGCCTTTTCACTCATTAAAGAAAACAAAGCAACGATTCTTATCTTACACTGCCTTGAAAAATTACACTATAGTAGTTATGGCAGCATTTGCCATGTGATATGAATACGTCTTATAATTTCACAGTTGTTAAGCATCCTTTGATGAACTCTGCATATGATGCACCGAGACACGCGCAGTCATAACATGTTATGTGGTATGTCATTCGTGTTTGAACGCATTACATGGAAACAGATATCCCGAACAAACAGCCCAGTCATGATGCTGAAGCTGATGATTCACCCTGATGTGCTGAGGACTGAAGGTGACTGAAGTGGTTTATAAGACAAGACTGCACCCTTCTGGGCAGTTCTTCTAAAAGCAGCAGCGAATCCAAAAATACATCACAACACAGTCAAAACTTATAACACCATCACTTTTAATTTTCCTATAACAATAATGATAATAACTAAATATAGCTTATTTAAGGGCTTATTCATACTGCGTATATTCAACAATATGTATGCACTAGTGTAAAAATAATTATAATTTGGATTTCAAAACAGTATTTATCATTCTTAATATAATAAACAATCAAAACATGATCATAAAAACAGTAACATTATTGCCTATTTTATTTGTTCATTCATTTGAAATTTTGAAATGAAGAATTAGGTTGTAGGCTACAACTTATCTTGAGTTGCATTGGCACGTAAAAAACACTAGATGGAGATGTCTGCCAGGCTGACCCACACCAGTGAAGGTGTTTGTGGACACCTTTGTGTTCATGGTAATGCTCTCACATTTTAACATAAAAGAAAAGCAAATAAGCGTAGTCACTTAAAACATGTAAAAAAGAAAGATGTCTCCTTATTGAAAACATATTATTTATTTTATTTTATAATATATATTATGTATATGTGTGTTGTATATAATATATATTATATATATATTATTTTTTTTTTTTTTTTTTTTTTTTTTTTAATCTGTTATTTTATATTTTATTATAAAATAAATAAATAAAATCAAATACATTTTCGACAGCGAAACCGTCCAGCCGTAAGCTATTTGTGTTTCCCCATACACTTTCCTCAATCTATTGCTGTGGCAACCTGCTGAAATCAAGACTAATAAAATGGATTTCCAAGACACATTAACATCATTAACACATATTAGAATATACGACTGTTTGATAAAGTCTAATAGTCCTCTGGGACCCGGCAAGATTGGATTCTTTATTGAGGACCAGCCTTGATTTACTACATTTCCCACACTGCATTGCTGCGCAGCCGCTACTTGTCACTGCTGTCGCTCTCTGCCTGTGAGTGCCAGCGGTGAATTGGTCTAGCATCCCTGCGCAGGCAATGGGGCGAACGCAGATGTAAAAAAATATATATATCATTAGAAAATTAAAAAAAGAAAACTTACTGTGATCGTGGGAGTTTTCGGCGCTGGCAGCTTGCGATGAGGGAAGGAAAATACGACAGCCTGGATTTTGTTTTGCGCCGCTGTGGAGTACGGAGCGTTATATTGAGAGAAATAATGCGGAATATTTCCTCCTGTAGGTGTTAACGCAGAAAATACAAGATGAAGAAGCAGTTCAATCGGATGCGACAGCTCGCCAACCAAACGGTGGGAAGGTAAGCAAACCCTCTCCGTGCACTATTCTCGCCGGGCCATGTCAAAGGGAAGAGAAACCCCCCTGTTTGGCCCCAATTGGATGTGAATCATATTCATGCATATATGATTCATGTTATGTTGTTATGCTGGATATATGGAATAGACAATGGTCAGTGCAGTCGGGCATATTCAGAGGAACAATAGAATACCCCATGTTCAGAACGCCTTTAGTGCCCCTATGCGTAATGTCCATTGGAAGAAGCTACCGCATAGGCAGCGTGTAGGCGCATTGCCCCAGTACAACCTGCCCACGGAGATACATTAAATATAGACAATCGCAGTATCACAGACCGTCACACAGAGACCACCTCCTCTTTAAGATAAGGTATCACCCCGGGAGTGTGAAAGAAAAGCTATAGGGAGGTGATATTGTGATTACATTTACCTCCTGTCACCAAACCTGTCAATAGGTGAGCGTGATGCAGACGGATGCGGTGTGGGCTGAGACGTGAGGGAAAATGGAAAAAGGCGCAATGTTTTCATTACGCAGTAATCTCAGCTGTGAGGAGGGAAGCACCTCCTAGGCGTGGGTTATCAAGTCCGTGAATTCCTGAAGGTCGTAATCCGCATCTGGTATTTATCTAACATACTTTTTGTTTGAATCATTTAATTAAATTTTTATTCTTTTGAGGAGAATACCTCTATCATGCCACTACAGTCCCTAAAATCCAATAAACTGAGTAAATAACAGGTTTATGTGGAAGACAAACCTCCAGCCCTTCTTCTTCCATTCCTCTCCTCAGTCTTCTATGTCCTGGACTTGCACTGCATCTAGGTGGTTCTGCAATCCCTCCCCACCTTCAGGAATAGATGCTTTGTGACCTTTTACTCGGGTCCTATGGGTTTATTACACCCCCCACCCCACCCTGTTCATTCACCTCACAGGGAGGCCGAGCAGCTTGTCCAGCAGCACCGGGCCAGAAGGTGTTCTCTGCTCAGCACCAGGGGATTGGGACCAGGAGGTGTGGGTCATTATTATTACAAGGCAGTGTGAGTGGTATGCACTCAGAAGAGAAAGAGAGGGAGTGGGGTTGGGGGGGGGGGCGACACCTTGCAGGCTCTGTTTGTGCTATCATTTTCAGTTACCCCTTGGTTCAAGCTGCTTTTTCTAGCTCCAGTCTTTTTATAATCATTTCTGTGTGACTCATTAGAGAGAGTGTGTGTGTGGGTGTGATACTGGATATGTGTGTAGGCAAACAGGTTGTAGGCCTTCTTATAAGCAGAGCAGTTAGTTCTTGTAAGTGTGCACAGTCTTATTTGAATGCACTCCCCAAATGTACTTCATGCCCGTGCTGTTGAGAGGATAATATTCTTCTCATATTCTGCTGTTTTGTGCAGCTGTCTGTCTAAGAGTAGCAGCAGCAACCCGCTGAGGTGGTACCACAGAGCCATCGTGAGCAACAGTATCCTCCCTGAACAGTCTTAGCAGCCCCCCTACTAATGGTACCTACTGTTCACAGCCAGGACGGCCATTCTCAAAACCCTCAAAACCCTCAACTCAAAGCATAATCAGAAATTCTCAGCTATACAGCACCCGTTACTTCAATGCCAAGGGGAGCCGCTGTGAAAGACATTTGATTTGCGCTTTGGATCAGAGCATGAAGTTACAGGTCTGACCCTGTGGTGACCTTGAGCAGTGTCAAACATTGGCTGTGTAATCCAGGGATAGATGGCAAGAAAGGAAAGGCCAAAGCTGTACCATCTCTAGCAGCTATAGGCCAGTTATATTACAATGAAGAAAGACCACATGAAGCTTTTATTGTGATTGAAGCTAACACTTATTGGTCTTGATCCGAACTGTTTTCATGTTGTTAGAATAAATAATAATATGGATGAGGTCTGTGTTCCGTAAAAGGTCAGCATGCTGTCCTTGTTTATTGACATCTTGTTTTCACCGTCTCCCCCATTGATCGTTCGAAGGAGTCAAAAGAGGTGTTGGCGCACCCTAACCATTGAAGGGTAATGATGTCCCACGATAGCACCACCCAAGAAGGAGAAATGTGCAAGGGCGTACATATATTATGTAGTATGCTATCCCGATTGCTGAACACATCCCGTAGAGGTAGTGTGTAACTGTGCTATGCTGACTGAAGTGGAGATGCTTTGGGTTAAAACTCGAATTGTCTTTACATTGTATTTCCACTGATTTGCCAAATGAGCTGAATTGCAAAGGCTCCTTGTAGCTGTATGACTGTTAAATTGGCAAATTTAGTAAATTGGCATTACAGGAAAAAGTGTAATAAGGAATTACTTTCACCGATCACAGTTACAGTATGCTCCATTTTGTACTCACTGACGCTTCAGCTTTACTATTCTGCTGACTCGAGCGTCACCAGTCTTCAGAGTGGAACAGGGTTACTTCGTTGGTTTGACCTTCCTGAACCTCAGGAGTCTCTGTGGAGCCGTTAATAGCGCTGACCAATCCTCAGTCACTTCTTACCAACTCAACAGATCCAGAAGAAGTACAGTAGATGGCCATGTTGGAAATTTTATGACTGTGGTATCAAGAATGTTTGAGTGGGTGGATGTGTGTATTAGCGGGACTGTGTGTTCATTTAGAGATAATGAGCAAGCTGTTATAAATGCAGACTTTTAATCTACTCATCTGTTTCTGGCATGTTGTTATCATGTCTGAAATACTGAGTCTTTCTGCAGTGCTGCAAGTCCTGTATGTGTCTTACATGTGATTTAGATTGAAGGTCTTCTTTCAGTGGGGGGTTGGCGATCAGGTGTGCTGTGTCAGCATCCAGCTGGCTCTCCAAGGCTGCTGCTGCTGCTGCTGCTCCTGCCTGGGTGAGATCCATGTCATGTGATTGCCAGCTTGACCAATCACCTCTGTGTAGCCAGACTCCATACTGGAGGATGTGCAGCCATGCATACTCTATGGCTTAAAGAAAGGTCTTGTGGTACAGTGGGAGAGACAACAGGGTGTCACAGCTCTGAGAGGTGGAGGAAATTATCCCTGAATGTGTGTTTGATTTCATTTTGTTATGTTTTCGTCAACTTACAGCCATCATTTTTGGTAGATCAGCTGAGATCGAGTTTTTCAAGCCTTTTCCATGATGTTAAAATTTATTTGCAAGGCCAGTGAGTATTTGTATCAGTCATAAAAAAAAAAAAAAAACAGCATTGTAATTTTTTGATGCCCTCATACATGCCGAAGAAGCCAGGAAAAGATTACTTTCGTTCACTATGCTTGCTCCCACCCTCCATTTCTCTTGACCTATTTCTCTATTCCCAACTCACTACCCTATCTAGGTCTAGGACAGCCTGGTAAAAGATACAATGATACAAGTCTGTGAGGAAACATTGTGCCATGCAATAAGTGAATTTTACAAATGAAAGAAATGAAATGAAATGTTATACTTCCAAACGGCACCACTGTTTCTATCTCTAACCTCCTATCAAATATCCCCCCCCCCCCCACACACACACACACACATACACACATACACACAAAACCAACCCACCTATCTTTGCACTCTGCATCACTCACCTGTATGATGTTAACCAATACCACTAGTGCATGGTCATAGCGTTCTCCCTTCTCATGCCTTTAGGGTAGGCTTTACCTCACCACTCCACAATGCAATTATGAGAAAATGGCAGCCATTTGTGGGCTGGCAGATAAGTTGTAGACGCTTTCTCTTTCCCGCACTGTCTCACTCTTACTCTGTTTCTCTTTCTCTTCCTCCTGACAGTGTGACGCAGTAGGTGAATGCATTACCGATGAGCCTGCATGCTGCCCTCTCGTACAATTTCAGCAAGAAAAGAACATAGAGTGTCCATGGAGAGAATTTTATCAGGAGACTAGGAAGGACATTGGGCAAACACTGAAATGTGTCTGTGCATGTTTGAATGTACTTAATTGACAGGTTTGCATATTAATGTGTCATCAGTTTGAGTACTCGTAGTCTTCCTGTTCTTTGATACTGACAAACAGGCCAGAGAAGGGAAGATTATGCATGAACATATTAATCTTGTAAACAAGTTCCTGTTTGCATAAAGAATAAAAAACTGGTCTTGCCTGTTTTCACATTATGCGCAGCTTTAGCACGTGTGCACCGCTTGGCAACATTGTGGACTCTAAAAGACCATATGGTAGCTGACAGGTAACATGAGATGTAGGAGGCAAACCCTGTTGCATGCCAATGCAGCATCTCCTCCTCTCCTCCCTCTCTCTTCCACCTCCTCCACCTCACCGCCTTGATTCACTGGCTTGGCAGATGAGGACAATGCTGTGAAGATCTCCGAGCGAGTTGTCTTCGCAGGGCATTTGATTCACTGCTCCTCTGGGTTCACTTTTGTATAGTTTCTGGCTGATCACATTGTTAAATCTTGACTGGAATGTACACTCTCAGCATATTATTTAATGACAAGAGTTGTAGTCATCAGCAATCATAGATGAGTCATTACGCGTGTTATAGATTGTGCACTTTTATTTAAAGCAAACGCTACTGCTGTAATTGTATAGTGCCTTTCAGTGCTAGTAGCAGCGATCCGTGTTGATAACCCTCCCATAACCCCATCAGTGCCTCTCAGAGACAGCATACTACAGGGTAGAGTTAGTGATAAAGAGCCTTTGTCAAGGGACCTTTTTGGCCATCAAAAGAGAGATGATGTAATAACGGACAGAAGCGCTGTTTCTCTCTTTCCATGTCGCTGATTCCCTCAAAAGACTAACCTCTTAAAGAGCCACTGCACTAGTGGTCCAATAAAAACGCACACAATATGTCAGAGACAACATGGCACACAAACAGCTGGATCTCAACAAACTCAAACTCTCCTTTGATTTTTCTTTTTGTCCTTATCGACCTGGTGCATATTAAAGTGGGTTCGATCACGCCAACGATGTGTCACGGGTGTCGGGGCTGACCCACTCTGTTGCTCACGATCTCATCTCCAACAGGAAGTGACCCCGGGGCCTGACTGAAATGCAGAACATCAATCAGATGTAATT